GGGGGGCGACGGGGGCAGGGGCGCGGTGCGGCGGCTTCATGAACACAGTCCTTCCAGCAAGGCACTGAGGACCCACCCTGGGCCGTCTCTAGGCCGGGCGCTGGTTACTCGGTAATAAGACAGACACGACCTCTGTCCTCAAAGTGCCGGCTCTTAGATGGGCGAGAACCACAGGAGGCGAAAGGTAAGCAAACTGAAGCAGCAGGTCGAAGGTAATTTTTTTTCATGGCGGAACCGGGCCGGGCGTGGCTCAGCGGCTGGGCATCGACCTAGGATCCTGGAGATCGCGGTTGGATCCGGTCAGGGCACATGCCCGGTTGCGGGCTCGATGCCCAGCTGGGGGCATGCAGGAGGCAGCCCATCCATGACTCTCATCATTGATGTTTCAACTCTCTCCCCCTCTCAGTTCCTCTCTCTGAAATCAACAAAGATATATTTTAAAAATAAAAATCGGGGTAAAGGAAAGGAAAGCAAGAGTACCACAGGTCTAAAGTGCAGCAGGATTTAGGCCAGCCCCACCCCTTTTTTAGGAAATCAAAAACCCAAATGTATTTGTGTCCATTAAAATAGGAAACCATCAGAAGAAGAGCTTGAACAAATAGCTGGAAACAGCAGAGACAGAACAAGGCACCTGAAGAGAGCACTAACGGACTCCCCTAGCCCTGCCATGGCGTGTAAATGCACACAACCATGCAGACGCGCAATTTTAAAGTAGCTATGGAAAATATTATAAACTCTCTTATCGTCAATTATAAATCTACAGGGAAATGAAGAAAACAGTAAAACTAACCTGTATTTAATGTACTATAATCTAAAACATGGAGAATTGAAGTTTTATTCCTTCGTAATAAACTTTTCAAAAATAGTTTGGAAAAAACAAACCCTTGGAGAGAAACAAGATGGCAGCGTAGGCAACAGCTGTACCCTCGGCCTCCCGCAACCACATCAAAATCACAACTAAAACACAGAACCACCATCACTCAGGGCCTCCTGAAATCCGGCTGCACAGAAGCCCCACAGCCAGGGAGCTGAAGAAGCATCGAGACCGTACGAGGGACGGAGAGGCAGGCAGATCGGGGCTGAATTGCTGAGAAGGGGCTGCAGGCCCACACCCTGTGCCGCAGGTTAAATCCGGGAGGGAATCTCGGTGGTGGAGGTTTCCCAGAGGAGTGAGGCGTCCCAGCCCCACAGCAGGCCCCCAGCCCAGGGCTCCAGAGCCGGGAAGAGACGTCCCCACAACTCCGGGCTGTGAAAACCAGTGGGGACTGTCCCTGAGGGTGGCGGAGGCTGCAGGAGCCCCAGGCTTTCCTCTTAAGGGGCCCCGCACGGACTTGCTCAGACGCTGCCTCTGAGCCCAGCACCAGGCAGCAGCGTGAAAGGACCTGGGACACTTGGGGAGGAACTAACCTGCCTGAGATCCGGGCGACAGGTGGAAAGGCGGCTTCCTCCCAGACAGAAGGGCTGGCGGAGGCCATGGCTCCTGTGGCCAGTCCTCCCCGCACACAGCCAGCAGGCACGCGCCATGTTTGAGTGGCCAGCACCTGACGCTCACCTTTGGCCCCGCCCCGTGATTCCCGGAGGCCCCGCCCCTCCCCACCTGCAGCTCATCCAGGCCATTGCCAGGGGCTTTTCTGTGCAAGTGGCCTCTCGAGCCTTATGCTTAGGACTTTCCTAAAATCTCTCTAACAAACAGCAGTGTGCCCCATAGCTCTTGATAAGTGGCCCCAGGCCTGGCACTAGTGGCAGCCTGCACTGGCTCATAGCTTGGCCTCTCCTGGACACCTCCAAGCTCAGCAAAAGTAGCAGGCAACTATGGTTTGCTGAGTAGCTCATGCTGGGTGGCCATGGGTAAGGCACTGGCAGAGGCTCACTTTGCATCTCCTAGGAGGCCCCAGACACAGTGAACCTGGTGGTCAGACTCGACCACACTGGATTACAACCCTACCACATCCACTAGTGACACACTCACAGGGTACACTTGGTGAACACCAAAGCTCCACTGAAGTAAATCCTGCTCCACAGGGGTGTCTCCAGCACAGCAGCTCTCTGGCTGTAGTTGCAGCTGGTCCTCATAGCCAACTGGCCAGGGGGTCAATTCCTCCCAGTGACGCCAACAGCAACCAAGGCTCAACTACAACAGAACAATGCACACAACACACACAGGGGAGCACCTAGAAGGCCCAACTCAGGTGACTGGGGAGGCTGAGCCACTGGACTCTACAGGACACCTTCTACACAAAACTACAAATTCCAGGAGACATAGCAGCTCTACCTAATACATAGAAACAAACACTTGGAAGCAGCCAAATTGTGGAAGCAAAGAAACATGTCACAAAGGAAAGAACAGAAGAAATCTCTAGAAGAGGAACTAAATGAAATAGATCCAAGCAAGCTAACAGATACAGAGTTCAGAACCTTGTTTATAAGGATGTTTAAGCATACTATTAGGGAAATAACTGAGAAAATTGATAACAAAATAAAGTACCAATTTGAAATGAAGGCTATAGAAACTGAAATGAAGAATAATTTACAGGGAATCAACAGTAGAGTAGAGGACGCTGAGAATCAAATCAGCAATTTGGAACACGAGGAAACAAAAAACACCCAACCAGAAGAGCAAAAAGAAAAAAGAATCCAGAAATATGAAGTTAGTATAAGGAGCCTCTGGGACAACTTCAAGAGGCCCAACATTCGTATTATTGGGGTGACAGAAGGGGAAGAAAGAGAGCAAGAAATTGAAAACCGATTTGAAAAAATAATTACAGAAAACTTCCCCTACCTGGGGAAAGAAATAGACTTACAAGTCCAGGAAGCACAGAGGGTCCCAAACAAGAGGAACCCAAAGAGGCCCACAGCAAGACACATCATAATTAAAATGCCAAAGGTTAAAGACAAAGAGAGAATCTTAAAAGCAGCAAGAGAAAAGCAGTTAGTTACCTACAAGGGAGCACCCATACGACTGTCAGCTGATTTCTCAACAGAAACCTTGCAGGCCAGAAGGGAGTGGCAAGAAATATTCAAAGTGATGAAAAACATGGAACTACAACCAAGATTGCTCTACCCAGCAAAGCTATCATTTAGAATTGAAGGTCAGATAAAGAGCTTCTCAGACAAGGAAAAGCTAAAGGAGTTCATCACCATCAGACCAGCACTACAGGAAAAGTTGAAGGGTCTTCTTTAAGAAGAAGCTAATGAACAAAAGAATCTGATGAACTAAATAGATCGAGAGACATTAACACATGCAACGGACAATTATATTTCAGAGGAAAGAGGGAAGGAGGGTGGAGGATGGGAGGAGATTAACCAAAGAAGTTATATGCATATATGTATAACCCATGGACACAGTCAATAACGGGGTGACAGCCTGGGGAAGGGGTGGGAGCGAAGTGGAGGGGGTCAATTGGGGGAGGAAAATGGGACACCTGTAATACTCTTAACAATAAAGGTAAATTTAAAAAAAATAAAGTTCAGATTTCCTAAAACCAAAAAAAAAGTTATAAAAAAAAAATAGTTTGAACAGTGTTTTATTTTCTCATCGTATAACCTACAATACAGCGTGAGAATCTTTTCTATGTCACATTCCTTTCTAAGTTTAGATCAGTTTACAATGCTTTAACCATTGCCCTTTCAATATCATGAAATATCTGCAAGAGTTCCTTTATAATGCACTTTTGGGCCAGTGTCACTTCCTCTGAGACATCGCCATCCTTTCCACCACAACCACGCTCCTTATTTATGTCAGTAAATTTACCCTCACTATGTTCCTCTGGCTGCCTATCTAGAGCCTATTAAACAGCAGCAGTGTTAACATTCAATGGTTAGCTATTTCTTCTATCACCCCATTTACATTCGATTTGAGATTCACTTCCAGCATTATCACTTTCATTTTCTTAACCATTGTCTTAAAACATACGTGGTACATGCAGACCTTCTCGTTAAGCTGCCTAACAGGTACACTGATTTTTTGAATCGCCTCTTCTTTGCTAAATGATGTTACTAAGATTTACCTTTTATAAGATAATGCGTTGCATGTAACTGAAACAAAAGTACAACAGAAGCAATCATTTCTCATTTATAATCCCACTCATAAAAGATGAAATTTGGATTACCTGCTACTCCATTACACAACATCCAATCAGAATAGTTTTCAGTAGGAAATTTCTCATCAACAATTTTGAGAGCTGTGAAATCTAATTCAACTTGAATTTTCTTCTCAAAGTAGTTTAATTCTACAACACAATAGCACAATTTCTTTATAGAGTGAAATTATGACTTTAAAACTTTATCTCCATTTCTAATTTAAGATAGCTTTCAAAACATATCCTTTATATCTCTTGTCTTTCCAAACCACACTCAACCTCATCAAATTACATTTAAGAAATATTAATGCCTACCTGTACTCTACCAGGGAACATCTAATGGGACAGCTGTCTTAAGCAGAACATCCTTTATCCTCACGATTATGTCAGCTTTGGCAAACATGGGAATAGTGATATTTTTTATTATCTCATTAACAGGTCTCAATTAAGAGTCAAAGAAACCATTATAGTGATATCTATCAACTTACAACTTAGCGTAGATTGAAGACTATGATGAAGAAGAAAAGGTGCTAAAATAAAAGTAATGTAAGTCATTTCATAAAGTATTAAGCAATGACTAGCAATTTATTAAGCCCCCCACACACACACAATGACAACAAATCCCCCAAATATTTATGCTCTTGGTGGACACAGCCATTTATTACCAAACCACTGCTTGTAAGAGTGACTAAAGGGCCAAACAGAAGGCTCACGACAACATAGTAAGAGGGTAGCTCTACGGTGGGTTCCTGTGGCTCTGCATAGAGCCAGACACGTGAGGTAGGATTTGTCACTACATCATGAAACCCGGTTGCCAAAGCACTTCTAGGACCTTCTGTTACAAACAAGCTAAGACCGCAAGACATACAACTTTTCCCTCAGAGAGACTCCTATTTCTATGGATAAAAAGAATCTCTGCTCTGTGGATACCAGTATAGCACTTTCCACAAACATAAAAGGGAAAAAGTGAGAGATAGTAAGTCCACAAAAATAAGTTTCAAAGTCTGTTTGACTTTCCAAGAATCCACCAACACATTTTTTTGCAGTAATGATAAATAGAATTGCTGGGTTTATGCCATCGTTTCAAACAGTGCTTGCTTCTAATTTATGTCAGAAACAGTGCCATGAATCTGGTGCATTTTTAAAAA